TCTCTTTTAGACTCCTCTAAAACATACACACACAACACACACACACACACACACACACACACACACACACACACAGAGAGAGAGAGAGAGAGAGAGAGAGAGAGAGAAATAACTTCACTATACCAACTTAAGGATTCTAAATTGATTTCATTTCCCCCAAGAAAAAAGCAAGAAATGTGCATAGTCTGTATCGTCTTACAGTAAGGAATATTAAATATCATTTCTGTATAGAGCTTTTATTTAATTAAGGAAAACTTAAGAAATGGTGACTTCTTCAGTCTTGCTTGGTCCCACAGAGGGCTGTGATGCCCCAGTCTAACAGTGTGGACTCTAGCCAGTGGACTTGGGCTCCCAGCAAGTATTATCTTCCCACGGAATGTTTCCTTAAACAGTCAGTCCATCCACAAGTGTTCAAGCAAACAAAATGATCTGCTGTAAAGAATTATGATTTATGGTAATTGTTACACTCTGGATCTTAGTGAGCTTTGTTTTTAAAAATTATTACCACAATGGTTCTGTAGAATTTAGGAGTATAACCAGCACCACTTGGCACGTTTATGACATAGGGTTCTGTTTTTCTTAACTGCGCAGTTACATGTTGGCAGTGTTTCAAATTCTTGGCACAGATGTGTAAGTGAATTTAAAGAAACATTAAAAGCAAAACAAAACATAAGGAACTTTTGAGTGTCCACATGTAAGAAGGTACAGTATTTTCTTAATGCCAGTTAGCGTGGAATCATGAACTTGGTAACACATGAAATGGGAGCCGCAAAAACCACTGGAAAGGGCTTTTGGATCCCCCCTTGAACAGTGTTGCTCTTTGGTGACATCTCCTATTCTTAGATATGGGAGTCGTATTTACTCGTTCCGGTTCTCTGGAAGACAGGTTCTGGAGTATCCATGAACACGAAAGTAGACTCATTCTCACCATGCAACCCAAGCCCAGGCCCATGCCACCGACATTCCTGGGTTTCACACTAATAATGCCTAGATTTTGGTAAAATTATCTTTCTAAAAATTCACTTTAAATATCCAAGTTGCAAATCTGCTTTCTAGCTTAAGATGTGGAAAGAGAAAGTGGAATGTAGGCTGTTCCCTATGGCATGCTTCTGTTAGTTGCTGAGGCAGTACTGATGTCACCAGTGGACGGTTTCTGAACCTGGCTTCCCAGGGCCCCTCACCCACCTGAGGGCTGGGTATGTGTGCACACATGAGCAAACACACACACACACACACCTCATTTCTGAAATGAATCCTTGTCTTACCTCCTTACCACCACGTATAGCAATAAAGCAAAGTCCAACCAATGCTAGCAAATCTTTCTCCACTTATTGGTTACTGCTTGAATACTTTTATAGCTCACAATCAAAGAAAACCTGTGTACTATTGAGAGTTATGAGAGATCCAACAGATCCATGTTGTTCAGTCACTCTAGTATAGCCAGCCCATAGGGAGGTGGGGAGATCAGCCATCATGGTTGGTACTGCTGGGAACAGAGCAGGTCAGGGAGACAAACTGTTTGTTTCAAAGGGTTGAAAACGTGGTCTGGTGCAGTAGGGTAGTAGGGATACAATGTCACAGCTTATTGGCCCTTCACTCAAGACATTAGACAAGCATTGGTAAAGCATGAACATTTATATTTAATTTACATTTTAACAATTTGCACATAAATAACAATGTAAACCAGTATGTAAACATAAGATAGTTTGTTGTTCTAGCAAAGTAAAAAGCCAATAACTTTGGTCAGTTTTAACTTTGAGGGAGAAAAAACCGAACGAAAAAAACCACTGTTAATTGTGGGCTCAACATTCACATGTAATAAGCCTAAGGGGGAAAAGGCAGATGGCAAGAAGCAAGAAGTTTTATAAAAATTCTCCAATATAAGAAAGCACAGAAATTAAATACGAGTTACTGGAAGTAAAATGCATTTGGTGTCAATGTGAGAGTCATGCTTTGGTTTCCCTACAATTAAGGACTATGTTTATCAAACACCGATGCATCAAAAATGTCAGTCTTGAGCTGGACTGTGGCTCATTTATAGGTACTTACTAGCATGTGTGGAAACTCTGGATTTGATCCTTGTAGGGAAAGAAAAGTCAGTCTTGCTAGTTATAGCAACAGATCAGTAAGGCTCTTGGGTTTCCCTGGATGGTTTAGTTTTTCTCTTTGCAAAGTTGACATTAGTTGATATGTACTAAATGCTAAGCATATTAAATAAACTGATAGTGATACTGTGTCAATATTTAGGAAGGAGGGAGAGGAAGAGAGAATAGAGATGGAAGAATTAAGATTTTTATTGTGACTCAAGTGACATAATGTAGCCAAAAAACACAGCTTTCTCAGATGATGTTAAAAGCCAACATGTTGTATCTTTCTCCCTAGTTGCTATGTGGTCCTCACCTCTGCACCAAGACTCTAGGGTCTCTGGTAGTACACAAGGGGGTGCCTAAGCACCTATATGATTGTGAGGCCATGAAGTTTTAAGCAAAGTCTTAGAAAGAGGTTTTTTTGCCCTTAGGAAAAGCAGGTTCTTTTACGTGGCTTGGCTCACAATTGAAGTGGTTATAAATATATTATATATACACATGGTATAGTGGTATAAATAGATTTATAAATATACATCATTCTTTGCTACAGCTTGAACACCAACAGGTAATCTTTGGGCTTAGCAGAGTAAAAGATAGAATGACCCAGTCTATCTTTTGGGAGCACACTTGCTTAGTTTCTCCTCTAGAGTAGCAAATCATGAGCTATGACATCACTTCCTGCACTACTACTGGACACACTCAATGAGGTAATCGTTGTTGAACAACTTTGCAATGCCCTTTCATCTTCAATTAAATTAACTATAAAATGCAAAAACACAAATACTGAGAAAATCTGAGTTTTACAGAAAAAACAATTGATGAGTTGGGGATAGGAATGTTTATTACCCGCTTTAACCTAAGATGACCAGAATACCCGTTTGTTTGTTTGTTGTTTTTCTCTTTCTTTTTGTTTGGATTTTAAATGTGGCCTGAGCCTGTCTACATCAAATCCTTCCTGGCAGAGCACCACCTTTGTGCAATTTTAATGTTCAAAAAACACAAAACAAAAGCCAACAACAAAGCGACACCCAGACGGAAGCCCCTAAACCTCACACATACAAAACCATCTGTGCTTTGAGACAGAGACTCAGTGGTTTTAACATGGCATTTTGTCTTCTTCACATTTTCAGATAACTTACTGGGACGCAAAAGTCATGTGACTACTCAGAATGGTCATATGACACTGGAGATGGGAAGACCCTACATTTTTGGAGCGACAGGTTGGCAAAGACTTCCTATCACCATTTTGGTAAAAGTGTGGCCAGGAAAAAAAAAAAAAAAAAAAAAAAACCAACAGAAACATAAAAGACTCCTTTTCTTATTCCTTCTACTCAAGTTATTGCTGGGTAATTCTGCACATATCCCCCCAAGTTATACAATGTTGTTCAAACGCTATGATCCTATGAGTTAGCACATCAACTGTGTAACTTTGGCAATACCAAAACCTCATTTTCAAACCATTATTACAGAGAAAGGTTGACTGAAGTCACATATGTCTATTAAATCTTAGGTATTTAAACAGATGTGCAGAAATTATCTACAAAGAATGGCCACAAGGTAAGAATATAACATTTATACTCAAATTACAAAGAATCTTTCCAGTCATTGTAAACTTTTTTAATTATTGCTTTTCGAAGGATAAACTGTATAATAAATTATAAAGGATTATCATTGAAAAAATAATTATGGCTAGGCAATAGTCTTAGTAATAGGAATGCAAACATCCACACAAATATTCAAAATACACAGGTTCAAATATATAGACATGACTGTAAATAAGTATATATAATATGTATATATGTATATATGTATATAGAGAGAGAGTCTTTGCCTCATATTTATGCCCTGAGATTTTGGTAACTTTGGAGTCCTTCTTTAATTCCAGAGGGATGAGGGGAACTGCCTGCCGTCAGGAAGCTTGCAGATCTGAAATACTGTACAAGCAATTCGCTACAGGCACCCTTACTCGCCAAGTCACAACTTAAGAAGCAAAGCAAAACAAAACACTTGCTTTCTGAAAATCTTAAGGATCCATCGGTTCAACTGTTTCCTGTTTGACCTTTACAGGTACCAGAGGTAGTGGGTTGCTGTGAGGCAACTTCATGAGGGACAGGTCTGATGACTCATAGAGGCTGCACCCTGAGGAGAGAAGTCCATTCCCCACGTTTCTTTGCAAAGACGATTTCAGACCAGTTTCTTCTTTCTCTTTTCTGACCACAGCCAGAATTTCCTTCTCCACCATAGAGGTCACATCAATGTTGTCCTCCATGTCCTCCAGCCGGTCAGCATTGTCACTAATGTCAAACTTCTCAATTTCTTCATTGATTCGGGTCAGGTCCTCCAAAGGCAGCCCAGTGGCTGGGGCCATAGGGCAGTTGCCCTTCAAGTGGACCTTGAGGCTGCAGAGATGGATGTAGCTCTTGTGGCACTGGGGACACTTGTGGGGCCGCTCCCGGGTATGGAGTCGCTTGTGCAGCTTCAGATGCACAAACTGAGTGAACTTGGCAGGGCACACTTTGCATTGGTAAGGTTTCTCTCCAGAATGCAGTCGCAGGTGGGTCTTGAGATTGCTGGTGCTGCTAAATCTCTTGTGGCAGACCTACAGGGTGGGGACAAGAGAGGGAAGAGAAGGGAGATGGGGAAGACCAGAAGATTAAGAACTGCCAATGAGCTGATTGAAAAAAAAATTGCCAATGGGAGGAGGAAGTTGACAAGCCAACACCCAGCAACCTGGAAGGCCAGGAATCTGGTGGTAGCACCCATGGTGTGGTAAGTAATCAGGGGATGTGGGCACATAGCAAATGAGCTGCTGTTTATCCCTTACCAACTTTCCACCCACTGGAAGCTGACTATGTCACAGCTCCACAGTGCCAGCAGCCTGTGGTAAGGTAGGATCAGGCTACATGACATGGGAGGACAACCCCACAGGCACTTGATACATAAGTCAAGAGTTCTACTGAGAAAACGCTGCCCACCTGGCATTCGTGTGGCTTTTCACCCGTGTGTACCAGGTAGTGTTTCTGCAGGTGGGCGAGCTGAGTGAAGCCCTTGTTGCAGGTCTGGCATTTGAAAGGCCGTTCTCCACTATGCACTCTCAGGTGGACCTGGAAGAAGCCATATGTGTTAGCTCTGCTGTCCAGATGAGGCCTACAGTTCTTCTTAAAAACTTGGGTGTGTATGATCCAAGCATCTTAAAAGCACCAAGACAAAGTCTTAAAGAGAACACAGCAAGCCTCAGTGTTCAAAAAGAACCTGTATCACAGACCAGCGGGGACTTCACACTGACCTTCTAGCCTAAGTCCACATTTTCGTTATTCAGGGGGAAGCAACTGTGTCTAAAGCCCAAGTGACAAAGCAAAGCAGAATCCATAGAGCTCAGGCCCAGGCTGGGTCTCACATTGCTCAAGTGCCAAGCAATTGAGTGCAAACATGAGTGTGTGCTCCTGGGCAGAAAGCAGCAGTGGTCTGGCGCCTACCTTCAGATTGGAGAGCTGGCCAAATGTCTTGGCACAGACGTTGCACTCATACTTGATCTTGCCATTTTGCTTCTTCAGAGGGTAGGGAAGGGTCTTGTAGCCAGTCATGTTTCTTTTGTTTTTGATTAGATTCATGGCTTCAGTTTCACTGCTGGGGGTTGCCATCACTGCTGAGGTAGCTTTGGGTTGTACCACGTGTTCTGACGTGGCTGCCGTTCCCGCCGTTGGAGACCCACTGGTGGGGCTACAAGTCTTGTCCTTCATGCTCGCGGCAGCCCCGGTCAGGGAAAAGGCACTGTGGGGCGCTGGGACAAGTACTTCTCTGGGGTGCTCAGGGGGAAGCAGCCTCCGGGCTCCATCTGAGGGCAGCGAACTTGGGAGAGAAGCCGGGTTGAGAATGGGGTGCGGCAGGTTGCCCCCGCCAAGGAGGTTACTGTAGACGGGGTACAACCTGGGGAAGAGGCTGAAGTTGTTGATGCCATTGATGTTGTTCACGGCGCTCAAGCCGTTGCAATACGGGGGCAACAGGAACTTAGGGTAGTGAGGATTGTAAGAGGGGATGAAAGCTGGGGGGAGGTGAGGGGCAGGTGCATAGCCAGGGAAGGAGCCCAGGCCCTCGGTGCCATAGGGCGCATTCAAGTAGGGGTAGGAGTCCCGGTGTTCTTGGGGGCCGGGAGCCAGGGGTGACACCATGTTCCCCGGGCTGCCGTGAGGGCTGGCACTCTTGAGGCTCTGCTCGGGGCTGCTTCTTGCCGAGGGACTTGGAGTTGTGGAAGATGGAAGTGGGCTGTGAGTGAGGTAAGTGGGCCTCTCCATCCCATAGGTGAGGGGTGCTTTCAAAAAGTCTTCTGGCAGAGGCGCTCGGATGGGATAAACAACCCGAGGGTAGAAGGGCATGTCGGGGCTTCCATTTTTTCTAAAGTTGTCTATGTCCTTTTCTGAAGTGAGGGGTGAAATGTTAGAACGGTAGACGTCCTTCCCTTTGGAAAGACTGGAGTCCAGTTTTAGGATTTCTTTCACACTGTACTCTCTTTTGGGGACATTCTTTGGGTAAAGTTCATTTTTCTCAGCACTGGGTTGCTTTAGGTTGCTCTCTGTTTGTGCTGAAACACAAGAAAGGGCAGTTACTCACAGGGCCGTGGAGAACTGAAATGAAATCAGAAGGCTGCTCTCTCTTCTTGAGAAAACCTGAGCGGCAGCTGGGAACACAAAGGACAGACACCTGGCTCCAGCCGCCTCTCGCCTCTCACTCAGGGCTCCGGGCCACCCACTCAGAAGCTGCTCCACTTCCTCCCTAGCAGAACGGGAACAATGGCAGCCTCCAGGCAGCCAACAGCACCACTTAGATGGTCTCCTTTCCACTAGTGCACACTTTATGATAGAAAAGTGCTGTTCAAACTGGAACCCATTGAGATGGGGTGGAAAAATAGTGGGGTGGGGGGTTGTCACAGGTTAATAAAAGTCATTCTCATGTTCACACTTTACCTAGAGGAAATCAGCATACTCTGCAAACTTAGATGTGAAAGATTAAGACTAGTTTCAAGTAATAAAGTCATCAATTTTCAACTTGATTCTTGTTTAATAGGAACTTAATAAAGCCCTGTTCAAATGTGGATACCACCCTTTATGGGACATTGGTTGACAGCACAAGCATTTCACTAGGGTTCTGGTCTAACCAGGCTACCATCTGGGCTGTCTCCTGGAATCACGAGGCATGACAGTCACCTCTGCCAAACCACAACAGGTACTTCTTGAGCCAGTTCAATTACTTACAGCACCAAAGAAAATAGAGGCAGCTGAGAGGAAGCATTTACTTCTAAAGACAACACATACTCTTCCATAAAGAACAGGTACAATAAAGACTATCCTAGACCATCCACGCCTGGCCAGCCCTATGACACAGGACAGATGAAGCCTGCAGGAAAAGCCTCTGTTCAGCCAAAGATAACACCTGTGATGCTCAGGCTGAGCGCTGCTTCCTGGGTGCTCTCGCAAACCAGGACACCTGCCTAGGAGTAAGCTGAGGGCCATACTCTTCCATAAAGAACAGGTACAATAAAGACTATCCTAGACCATCCACGCCTGGCCAGCCCTATGACACAGGACAGATGAAGCCTGCAGGAAAAGCCTCTGTTCAGCCAAAGATAACACCTGTGATGCTCAGGCTGAGCGCTGCTTCCTGGGTGCTCTCGCAAACCAGGACACCTGCCTAGGAGTAAGCTGAGGGCAAGCTGTGTGTGTGTGTGTGTGTGTGTGTGTGTGTGTGTGTGTGTTGCGGCGGGGGGGGGGTGCAGGGAGTTGAACGTGCTCTGAGTAAGAGCAAGGGCTCTTGGCCTGTGCACTGAAATAGGTGGTAGGATTGGGATGTCACTTAAGACACTATTAAAGTATCCTTTGTAGTCTTATAAAATGGCTCTGTTTGACTTAACTGAGAAGGAATGCCAGGTTTGCTACCTGATAGGACTAAGGATGAACTCTGTGGAACTCCAGAACTAAACCTTTCAAATCCATTCTCTAGGCTGACAGGCTGGAGGGATTTGATTCCAGTTGGAAAGCCCTTTAGAGGATGTTATCTCCTGCTGGCTGTTATCAGTTACTCCCGGGCAGCCAGAGCCCCAGAATAAACACAGTGGACAACACTATCAGGGAAGATGCTGATGGGGGCAGTGATGGAAGGCTTGCTGAGGGAGAGCAATTTCTCAAGCCTCTAAACCAAAATAAATATCCCCTTATCAGGCCAATATCAGTCTTTCAGTGAGGCCCAGGAGGCAGGAAGTTCAAATTGTCACTTTTGTTTTTTAAAGCTAAAATGGTAAAGGAAGAGAAAGACAAGCTGGAAAACTGATAGGCAAAGGCATCTCACAGCCACAGGAAGGAGCTTACTGGAGGTGAAAAGAAGAGAAGGGTGACTGGGGGAGCATCCTCAAGTTAAAAAGTGAGTAAGTAAACAAAGAAAGAAGGAAGAAGCTAGGGTTTTTTTTTTTTTTTTTTTTTTTTTTTTGAGACAGGGTCTCACTATGCTATATAGCCCCCACCGGTCTGTAACTTGCTATGTAGGCTAGACTGGTCTCAACAGATAGGTCTCAAATATGCCTCTGCCTCTCAAATGCTGGGATTAAAGGTGTATGCCACCAGGCCAGGCTCTGTGCTATTGTTGTGTGGCAAATTACATCAAATCTCATAATATTTTTAAGTAGCTACAATACTCCCACAGTTCTAAAATTCAACAAATTAAGCCATAAGTCTAGATAAGTTAGGTTTCCTCCCAGTACTCCACAGTCAGCCACATGTGTTCTTTCTAAGCACTGTAATTCAATTACTAAACTGATAGAAAGCTAATGATTAGGCCAACAAATGAAAAAGTCAAAACTGTTAATAAATCCAAGGGTTTGTTATCTCTGTCTTCAGAAAACCACGTTGACATCTTATTCTGAAAGAATAGCCACAGCAAAATGTCAGCCTCTCTAAAATATTCTCTAGCTGCAAGTTATGGACCCTATATGAAAGTACATGTTTAACAAACCATCCTGAGCAGCTGAGTAATCAGAGGAGCTAGTGTCATTTCTGACTCTCCGTTCGGCAGCAGCTTGAGTTAACATGAAAAAGAAAATCAAGATCTGTTTTTGTTCTTAAATCTTAAATGGCTGTAGGCGGATGGAGTCATTTCAAGAGTGAACTGCTTCTGAAGGCTCTGAATGGCTTAATTATGCCGACTCACATTTTCGATCTATAATAAGAACTCCTAAGACTACAAGAAAGAACCTAGAAGTTCTGCTGTAGGCAAAACAAAGTCTGTTTTCAACTGAAACTGAGAAAGCAGATTAACATTTAGAAGTCTATAATTTGGTCAACTGTTTTCTAGATGGGTTAGTTAGATAGATAGCAAAAAAATTAAAAAAAATTGGGAGGGGTAGGAGCTGAATTTAATAGTCTTTTTCATCTTTTCTTCCTCCCTCCCTCCCTCCCTCCCTCCCTTTCCCAAAGCCAATTTGTGATTTCTGGCCACCTCCTTCATTTGCTCCTCATTCTTTGCTTGCTCCATGTCCTCATGGAGGGGAACTTCTGCACAGACTTCTATTGTGCTTTAAGCATGGAAACCCAACACAACTCACTATGGACACATGATCTACCTATTAGGCCTGATGAAATAGTGGAAATTTTCCCGATCAGAGCCTCCATCATTAGTTGCCACACCTAAGCCAACAGATTTCACAACAGGCAACAGGAGCCTGAACTGTGACTGTTTATTGTTAATGCTCATTCTTTAGTAGGAATATTGGGCAAACGAGGTTCTAACCCATCACTTAGAAAAATCCCACATAAATCAAAAGGATATTTGAAGAACAAAGGTGACATTTCATAGTATATATGAAAGTTGCTTCTGAACAAAAATAATAAACACTCGAGCTAGGCATGGTGGCATACATCTGTAATGCTAGCATTTGGGAGGTGAGGGCAGGATCAGAAATTCAAGGTCATCCTTGGTTACATAACAAGTTTGAGGTAAGCCCAGACTACATGAGATCCTGTCTTGAAAAATCCAAAAAGTAATAATAATAAAAAGAACAAACACTTGAATCTTTAAATATAGTACAAAAAAATCCCTTTCATTGGGGGGAAAAATGCCAGGCCTTTAAAACTTTTCTTTCATTGGCATGGGACAAAATATGTAAAAAAGGTCTCTTCATGATTGTTTTGAAGCCCCTGACAGGGTAGCGTGAGGATATAGAGTGTGTGATGATGGTACCCTAGTGAACTCAATCTTTAAAAACAACAAGAACAACAATAAAACCAAAGACAAGGTCTAAACCCAAAAATGAGGAAATCAAGGAATGCAAGAAGACTCAGTAGGAAGTGGCTCTGTATGCTGGGAAGATTAGGACACAGCACCACATCTCTCCATGAGATGCCTCCATAGAAAAATATAGGTGTCAAGAACACTCAGCCTACCTTTGTGCCTTTTATTATCATCAGGTCTTTAGCACTAGGCTGGGCACATATTAGACCTCAAGACAGAATAGCTCCTGACGTGGTTGGCCTAGGGGTATGCTTAGAGAGCAGTCAGGGAAGATTGAAGGAGAGAACAGGGAAAGGGACTGTTCTCCTTTGGCCAGGTTGGATGTCACCCACTATGCTCATGTTAGAAACTAGTTTGCATCAAACACCCTAAGATCTTTCCATGAAGCTCCATAGTAAACTGTGGCTATGTTAAGGGCCTTGAACACAAACCTACCAAGTGATCCTTTGGGAAGGTGCTGAAGCTATGATTTTCAAAAACTGCACATATGATCAAGACCCTGAACAGTGAATACTGGGTAGGTGGCATCCTATCTAAGTAATTGGTCCTAAAGTTGAAATCAAAACTTCTATTAAAATTAGTATTTATTTCTGCTGTCTCTAAGGTAAAATTTGAACTAAAACAATTTAGTCTCCAGGGAAGGCAAGTGAGACTGCACACTAAAAGATGTATACTTTTTTTGGAAAATATTTCTGTTAAGTTTGAGATTATGTCAAAATGAAAAGTTTAAAAACTTCAACATTTATCTTGTTATTGTTATTATTGCTTATTTTATTTTGTTTTGTTGTTGTTGGGTTTTTTTTCACTATATAGACCAGGCGGGCCTTGGCCTCACAGAAATCTGTCTGTTCAACATTTAGTTTTAACATTTGAACCAAAAGGAGCTTATTTTAAAAAGTGCTCTAAGCCAGGTATGGTGGTGCATGCCTATAGTCCTGGCATTTGGGAGGCAGAAGCAGACAGATTCTCTGGTATGCCTAGAGAGTTCCAGACTAGCCAGGGTTACATAGTGAGACCCTAAAACAAGAACAAAAAAGTGCTATAAAATTCAGCAGTGTAACCCACAACATACAACCAGAGTCACAACAGAGGTTAGAATTTTACATTAATTCTCAAATTCTTCATAAAGATGGCTTGAGAATGACTAAAATGAAGGAACTCCTTGCAGACAAAGATCATGACAGCAATTTTAACCAAATTAAAAAAAAAAAAAAGTAAAAGCTTGGCTGGGCGTGGTGGTGCACGCCTTTAATCCCAGCACTTGGGAGGCAGAGGCAGGAGGATCTCTGTGAATTAAAGGCCAACCTGGTTGGGGCTACAGGGAGACCCTGTCTCAAAAAAGACCAAAAAAAAAAAAAGTAAAAGCTTATAAACCTGAGGAACTGAGATTCTCTGTCAAGATAGAGTGATAGGTGGTTACTGTAATACTGATTAAGATATCAGATTAATTCATTTTACCATAAGGAAGGAAGCTAAGATATGAAATCTTTATGGTTATTCATTTAGACTACTGAAAAATTATGACAGATTTTTCTAGAAATGATCGTTGACATTAAATCATGACTCTATATGTGTCTCTATAAGATTTCGACATACATGTAAGCACTGACAAATTACCACAAATAAGGAGCTATAGTTGGCACATTAAACACATCACCAATCCTTATTGTGTCTCTAACTGGTCCTTTTGCATAAATTGAAACTGGAAATAGATTTCTTCCTGTAACTTTCTGAATTCAACATTCAAAGTAGCTTATAATATATATACTTTTTATGATCAAGTTTCATAATAATGAACAGGGAATAAAAGTTTTCCTCTTCCTAGTCTTAGTTTAAGCCACCTACTTAGTTCAAGAGATGATGAAGCCATATAATTAAACAACATGTTATTAGCACATAGGAGCAGAACTGACATTACTGGCATTTTTCATTTTTTTGTTCTGTGAGCCACTTACTGAGATTCATCATTGTGAGCTCTCCAGGATAAGGGTAGTGAAGCCTCTCTGCAAAGTCCCGACAATACCACACAAGAAGTTCCTGGTTGGCAGGGATGGGCTTAATGGTGTAGAAGTAGATGTTCATCCCGTTCTGACACGCAGCCAAGTTTTGCTCCTGGGCAGAGTGTGCCGGATTCACATAGCGCATCCAGTTGCTTTTCTCCTCATTAAAGCCATCAATGAAGTGGTGAAGTTCCCCTCTGGAATAGATCTGTCCAAAAGAGAAGACAGACGTGGTGTGAAAGGCAGCCGGCCCAAAGCCATGGAACGCTTCCCTGACACCTCTCAGAATAAACACAGGCAGGCAACATGTGTGAATCCTGCCCTCACTGCCTAGTTAGAGAAAGAATTAATCGCTCTGCCGGGCGTCATCTTGAATCAGCAGAAAAGAGGGCGGAAACAGGTAAGGCACATTTTGTAAGTTTTTATGGGCTTTTCATGTTGGGGCTGGGGGAGTATCAGAAGAATGAAGTACAATTTCAGTTAAGGAGCAGCCTTGGACCGATGAAATCACCACCGAGAACTACTTCTGCTCCGGTAGAGAATGGCAACTGGGCGACACTAAGTCCAGTTCCGATTGTGCTGACTTTTAGTGCTTTGAGTCACCAGGCAGCCAAGCAAGCTGAGGACTGCGTCAAACTGAGTCTCAGCTTTTTCTACGGCCTCCGTAGTCGCCGTTTCCTACACCCCCGCCTGGGGCTCAGACTATGCAAACATCCTCCACCTCCAACCCTCTGAGTCCTACAGTAACACTGGTTCAGATGAATACTTGGAACCCTGCCTTTTGGTGGAAACACTGGGTGGGGCAAAGGTGAACTTCACCTGCCATAACAAAGTGAGCCACCACACGGAGGCCAGAGTTTGGCAGTCTACGGAGAACTCACTTTTCCTCTTGGTAAACTTGTTCAGCCTTGCCCTTCTCTTCTAGCCAAAGGAGAGAAGAGAGATTCTCCCTTATCTGTGAGGAGGCTGGCGTAAACACCACACACAGAGCAACAGGCCTTTTGGAAAATGAGCAAGAAGAAAAGTATGTGGTTGCTTTAAAGGCAACACATACAGAGCTCTGCTACCTCTGGCTAACAGATGCACTCAAGGCTTGGTGAAAGGCAGCGTTAAGAAGAAGAAAAAAATAGTCTTACTGAAACCGTGTGATAAGCGTGCTCCCTGTTCTTCCACAGAAAGTTCTTTTCTACCCTTTCTTTTAAGAGACACCACCTTTCCTTCACCATTTCCAACCCAAGAGCTTTCAGCCAATACCTGATCATCTGCAAGGTCTTCAAGTGCTTGTTCACAGCAGGGATTTTGCTCTAACAGGGCAGCAGGCTATTGCTTTATTCTTAGTCACACGCTTTGTCTGACTACGATGGTTTCTGCATTTCACTCAAACGTTATCAGAAATAAAAAGGAACTCTGTCCCTTTAACATAGGCAGTAAACACCAGAATCACTTTCTTTTAAGAGTAACTTCCTGTAAATTGTGAAGGGGGAAATACATGTGGCTTCATCAAAGCAGCTTGTGAGAGCTTTTGCGGTGTGTTTGTTAAGAGAAAATGGAACAAGACTGGGTGAACTCAGATATCAAGAGGGGTTTTCAAGTTTGTTTACTCTGGTGTGCAAACTTCCAGGAACGTGGGGTTCCTATCACTCTTGCACTCTTCACTAGGGCGGAAACTGCTTTCTAAAGCTACGGGTATATTGATTCCAGTCAGCTTTCCATGGACTACAATTTACTGTATCCTCGTTTAAAAACAGAACGGTGGATGTCATGAAGTCACACACACACACCCACAAGAAAATAAAATAGTGCGTACATAGAATGCACAGGGCTGCCTGTCACCTCCCTGCCTTTCCATCTATTATCAAGAAGATTAAAAACGTGCTGACTCATAGTACAGTTACAAGAAATGTGACTGGTTTCTCAACTTGAACATCTCTTTGACTGTGTAATTTGCATGAAACTGTTTCATTCCTCACAACAGATGTTCATATTCCTGCCAGCAAAATCAGGATGCTTTTAACATGCGAAAAGTTATTTCCTAGGATATTCTTTGCATGTGAACAACTGACTCAAACAAATCCTCCCAAGGAAAGCCTTTCAGTTACTTTCAGTGAATCTTTAAATGAAACAGAGAACTGGGACAGGATGGGAGATTCTTAAGTGTGTGTTGCATTTTTTTCCAAAAATGATAATGTATTAATGAGACATGCTACAGACTGTCTTAATTCAGACCTTTGGATGCCAAGATTAATACACCTCTACGGTCGGAGAAGAGTTTATTGGCAAAAAATGCAATCATATTTTTATATTTAAGTATATTTGAACTCTAAGTAATTATCAAATAAGTAAAAACTGAGGACACATGGTTCTTAATAAATTTCTGACTATTTTTCACTTGAGGAAATAGTAGACTAAATTTCTGGAAACACAACATTTTCTGGATTAAAAAAGACTCTCAAACCAAAAGAGAAGACTCCCTTAAGAATAGT